GTCGGGAAATCGTGACACTTGTATTTATTTTATATAAAATTGAGAATGGAAACGGTATTCTGTTTGTAGCAAGATGTATAATGGGGGTGGGGGTGATAAAGGCGAATAGGACATGTACTTTTTAAGTATTACACAAACTTAAGTGCATACTTTTTGGAAATTGTTTTTATATTCAAATTATTTTTTTCGAATCAAACTCGAAGGAAAATGTCAAAGATACACAAAATCTCGTAGTATTCAAGAGAATTTTGTAACGTAATAGGGGCCTAGATGGACGACTTGTTTAAGTAGTTCAATTAAAATGTTCACTCTGAGCCTTTCAAGACTGTGTGACAGCGATATTTTCCTCTTTGATTTATTTCGTGGAAATTCAAACTTTATCTAAAAGCAAGCGACTATTGTTCTCGAAATTGTAAGCTTACATGTTGAGAAGTTAATCCATTTTAATCCTAGCATTGTCCATTTCTTGTTATCATATATATGTTTTTTAATTGTATTATTTGTTTGAATCATTAAGTGACAAATTTCATTATTACATGTAGTTATGATTAAGTAAGATTACGTAATTCATATGAGATCGTTTCTATGTAAATGGTCAGTTGGATACCAGCGGTCAAGCTGTACGGACGCCGTGCATTTACAGTGACATTCATTGTGTTTAGTATAGAACATTTATTGGAATTACCATTTGTTTTATCTTTTCGGAATATTACCGTTGAACTTTTATTGTAATTAATGTATTGCACTATTGAAGAAGTTATATATAAACCATCGTAAAGCTTAACTTAGTTTTGTTGACTTTAGACAGTGACTTTCCCCCAGAATTCTAAATATAACAGGAACGACGAAAACCCCTGTTATAAATTTATAATCTCTTTTAAAATTAACTTATATATTCGGGTGACATGACGACAGTGAAATTCTTTTTATTTATAAAATAAATTAAAACTCATTTCTATTAAAACTATAGTAAAAATATGTAAAAGATCTATAAGAAAAAGTGATGGTGCATTTTTCCCTATCACAACTGCTTGTGGCTGTATTTTGACCTCAATTGACCTGGATTCGCACAGAGTAATAAAAGTGGCGTTAAACATCAAATAAATCAATCTCAATATAACGTAACGAACATCAAGAATCTCTTATGGAATGCGATATATATCCTTTGGTTTATTGAGAAATAGTTCATCATTATATTTGTTTCATAATCTCATACATCTACGCCATATCTAAATTCTTTAAATGATATTTACACATTTTGTCTCGTGCAATAGGTAGAGTCCATAAAATGATTTTGTTCTTGCATGAGGAGTATACTTTTACATTTCTGTCGTAACACTTGTCGTATATGACAAATGTATGAACTAATATACGTTTTGTCTGTCAACCCCCAATGAATCGACTGCCGGTGTAGATAAAGATTGTACTGCCTGATCCTCTCTCGTCAGGAAGTAAATCCCTCGCTGAAGTGGTCGTCAGTTCGGATGTGGTGGATGTATACATACGCAGTCATGTCTGCTTAATATGGAAAACGATGCCCCGTCACACAGTGCATACAAATTTCACACTCTCTGAACAGTTAAGATTCTTTGTTATTAAATAATTATGGGTCTGTCGGTGGCAGAATGCAAGGCAAATTTTTTGCCCTATCCAATATGTGATCTTTTAAAGAAATGCATTTATACTTGCCAATATACCTTGCAAAATTGACATTTTTCCCGTATGCATGAAATTTTGCCATTGTACAATTTCCTGCCAAGTAATATAACAAAATATGTTGATGCAATTTACGGGATTATTTGTTAATATCTTTGTTTGTTATTTGTTGGCGTTCCCATCAATGTGTTTTTTATACTTAGAAGAACAATTATCGACGATGTTAGGGACTGTCTTAAAATTGTAATGAAATTGTCGAAAACATTTTTGACAAAGACAACCATATTTTTATGTATAGGAACAGTGAAAAGGATAAATCGAGAGGAACATCATGTTGAATATCGGAAAACATACAGCAATAGCGAAATGAAAATTAGTTCGAGTTGATATATAACTACTATATAATTACAAAGAAAGGGAAATTAGGGGCTGCCTTGGTAAATTATCAAGTTGCTTCATTTTGATTGGGGGCTGGTCATTTGTAACTGAAGAGTGAATAATAATAATAATAATTAGTTCTGAGAACTTGATGAGGAGGGGTGAATTTTTATGTCTTTGAAAGTGGGGACTTGAATTTATTTTCTTTCATCAAGGTGGGAACTTGAAAAAATAGAGAAATTCCAATGTTTCCTTCCATCCACTTGAATGCTTAAAAATAAGAATCTCGTCACCTTAACAAAAAAACAAAAAAAAAACAAAAACACAGATTTAGGATTTTAAAAAATCGGATTTTCATGCCTACAACATTCTTAATTTGAAAATAAAATTTTATAGGTATAAACAAAAGCAATCACATTATGGCAAAGTGAACGATCATACTTTTCAATTAAAACTTGAATTATAGAAATGTATTTAATCAGAAAGAACCTAACAGGTATTGAGTACGGGGTTGCAGCATACATTTTATACCTTTTAAAAAACGCGAACCTGATAGAGCGCATGGCAACTGGTGTATTTACATTGAAACTATGATCAACTATGGATTCATACCATTACATTCATGTATTCAATTATTGTTTTCTCAATTTCTAAACTGTTATTTGTTATAAATAATCGTAATGTATTTACAAAAAATTCTATTCAATAAAGGGCACCGTCAACCGCGGAAATAGTGAATAACCACAGGACTACAATAGATAGGGAATGATGGCAATTTTAGCTTAGCATAAATATTTATTGTTAACTTCATATAAACTCCGTGTAAAACGTGAGTGATAGCATGACATAGATTTGAGAACTAGTAAATAAGCGTTTCTAATTTTCTTGTGTGAGAATATTTTGTACAAATTGTAGTACAGTGTTATGTGCTTGCACGACGTATCCCTTCATGAGTTATTAAAACTGAAAGCACATACATGTATCCCTGGCTGTATAGTGCTGTGCTAGCTCAATCACTTATAAGTTTTAATGGTCAATTATTTGGACTTTTGGAAGCAAGGACAAGGTGCTCGATTGTTTAATTTAAATGAAAAGAAACTCAAATGTAGAAATGGTTTTACGATTATTTCAGAAATTATACAAATTCAGTTACTTATGATTGGGACAAAATAATATGAATACATGTATTCTGGTTAACTAATGGAACTTAATTTTCTGTAAGAAAATTTGATGTTGTTGATTTTAACCAAAAAATCACTACGATTTGACTTACGACTGCCTGTTAACACTCGTAAGTTTACGATCAAACTTACTATAAAATTCTACTTACGATTGTTTATGAAACGGTCAAAAACTTACGATTTGACATACGACCGACGTAAGATCTAAGATTGTCGTACGATTTTTTGTGAAACGATGGCCAGGACCTTCCTCTATTATGTCCGTTGACGTTATAAGAGGAATGTATGAGAGGACAACAATTATGCCTTTCTTTTTGGCTAGAAGATGTCTATGGTGGTGTTTTTTTTTACCCTGGATTGCACGTATACATATAGTTCATCCGAAAAAGTATATAAAAGATTTGCGGTACAGTTTAAAAGACAAGCCATGTCAGTTGTTTTACATAAACAATTTAAAGAGAACAAGTCATTCATATATAAGGTAGAAAACTATAGAAAAATATACACAAAACTTTTATGTAAATGTAAGTAAGAAAGTGTAAATGTTTGATAAACGGTTGCATTCATCTAAAATTTTAATATCTATTCATTCATTTATCAATTATTTCACATGTGTATCATAGGATTAATGTTTACCATCTTAACTATTTTAGAGGTAAAAACACATTGCTCCTTTTAACATTTCATCCTGTCTGTACTTATATTTGGGCATAATTTTTTGGTGGGGTTCGTGTTGCTTAGTCTTTGGTTTTCTATGTTGTGTCATCTGTACTATTGTTTGTCTGTTTATCTTTTTATTTTGGCCATGGCGTTGTCAGTTTGTTTTCGATCTATGAGTTTGACTGTCCCTCTGGTATCTTTCGTCCCTCTCTTAATATTATGCTTTTCCATGCCTAGTTTTGACGTCTTTACGCTAAATTCTTTAGATTAGTACTGGTTGATATTTTAGTCTGAAAAAACATGATTAATCCATATCATTTGCAACTGACTTTGAAATAGGTTGAAAAAACTGTTTACAACAAAAACCGATCAGTTATACATAGAATGGCAGGGGAATAGAGTCCATTTTATTGTTAAAATTATATCTTTCTTTGGGATTGTTTGCATCTTTGTTATTTGTTTTTTCGTGCTTAGTACCGATATAATGAGTCAAGCCCTTTCCATTATATTCTAATATAAAAAATAAGAAGATGGGGTATAATTTTCAATGAGACAACTCTCCACTAGAGACCAAATGACATAGAAGTTAACAACTGTAGGTCACCGTACGGCCTTCAAAAACCAATACCGCATAGTCAGCTTTAAAAGGTCACGAAATGACAAATGTAAAATAATTCAAACAAGAAAACTAACGGCCTGATTTAAGTAAGAAGCAATGAACGAATTACAAATATGATATACAGCAACACTAGTTTATTATGTGTGCTATTTCACCATTTTGTAAAGTAAAGGCAGGATTGAGAAGTCACAAACATTTCAAATATTGCAACTAAAATAGACACTTTATACATTCTGTTCGTCCGAAGCCCTTTCAGGATTTAACTTTATGAGGAACGCCTAAATCTGAACATTTTTGTAGACGAAACGTTCGGCTAGCGTACACAATTGTAATTCTGGTATCTATTGTTACGTCGACACCAGTGTGTGTATCTCCCGTCAGCGCAATGACCACATATGAGACAACGACATATCAATGTGTATATATGTTAAGTATATACTTTCAAAAGAGTTCGACCTGTTACTATTGCTTTAGATTGTTTTGGCTTTACAGAGCCATAAAACTGATAAAAGTTCACACCCTGTTTATTACTGTATTTAAGGCACAACATAAAAATATGCAGTTTTGACAGTAGTATTAATACTATAAACTTATGATATTATATAATACACGAAAGGTGCCCCAAGAGGATACATAGAACATAAAAATGTATAAGATTTATCGATCTCATGGTTTACTTGATATATTTTTGGTGAAGTGCAGTTGCACCTAAGGTTCAGGTGACGTTACTATAAAAATGAGGTGCAGTTGCACTTAAGGTTTAGTTGCACATAAGGTTCAGGTGACGTTACGATAAAAATGAGGTGCAGTTGCAAAGTTTATAATTTAGCAATAAATGGTCATTTCCAATCAAGGTCCATTGTATCAGCAATTTATATAAATTTTGCCTTATACGGTGCAGAGACACCGAAGTAGATGTGGTGCGCCGAATCCAAACTTGGATTCACCGCTAAATTCGAGTAGCGATATAAACGGGTAAAATATATATAACGACTCAGTTGATTGGTAATATCATCTCAATATAAAACGTAATTTATAATCACAACTTTTCTATAATTGATCAATGATTTACGGAAGCTAGTGACTAAATAATGTTGCACCCGGTGTAATTTGACTTGATTCTCGGTGCAAATAAAGTTAAAGAATGGTTTATGTAGTGGAAACACACAGTAATTTACTTAAAAGGCATTTTTAATATTATAAGCAATTAAACTATCATGATAACGTACCATGGCTACATCCGAGCGAATATATTGCTGCGACATAATAATAGAAACAAGTTAAAATCTATGCGACTGTTAAATAAACGTGTATCAAGTGAAAATTGAACTGAGAAGAATGACGTCACAAGTACGCTGACGTCGCTTTATAAATAGAATAATATTAGCCAATCAAATAATTCTATTTGCGATTTCCGGGCAAACGCGCAGATTTGCTCAAAGATGGTGGTTCTACGTATCCTCCGTGGACTTAAGCACAATATACCAAATAATTCATACATCGGAAGGGATCCACACCTATCTAGTTGGATAAATGAATATATTATTAAGCTAGGAATGCCTGATATAACTAGTGACAGAATATAATGTAAGTAAAATTCCCAATTGAAGCGGGTTCGTGACCTGACAAAATGAACATTCTGAACTACAAGTGAAAAGTGAAAGTAGACTGAAACTGCAATATGAGAGCTAATATATATATAAATAAAGTTGTAAGCAACATAGAAGTACACAATTATATGATTTTTATAACATCGAGTCATATTAAATTTTGTTACACAACAAGCGTAAACTACTAATTTCGGGGTCACCGTCTACATGTAAACAAATGTGCATAAATCTATTTCCGGTGACATTCCAGAAATGTTCTTTAACATCAGATGTAAACAAACGGATATTACAATGGAACCAAATAGGATTTAACAGGGGTGTGAATAACTAAATATCTTAACAACAATAAATATTAACAATATAACATTTGAGACCATTATAGCATACTCATGGAGCATAAAAGGACATAGTAAGGAACCAATTTTTGGCCGGCACAACACTGCCTACTCCTTAGTATGGATTGGTATCCAATTGGATTGTAAGGTAAGATAAAAAAAATTAACATCTATATAAAGCCAAGGCACTTACTTTTAAGTTAAAATATATACATTATTTTTCAACCATACAAAAATTTAAAGAAAATTTACAATTAAATTATCACATTACTGTAAACTGACTATAATTTACAAGTAGAATATATTAAGTTTTTATTTATACAGATATATACATTTTACCTGTAGCGACTTACTCTATGTTTTCTAAAACTTGAAAACCTTCCTCAGTTAATTTAAAAGAAAACTTTGCGTCTGGCGCAAATACAAAATTTCTATCTTGGTATCTCTGATGAGTTTATTTAAAGCTGGAATTATGGTAAAAGGTCAGGGATGCCATTGTACCACATAAAAAAACTTGAAAAGGATATTCAATTATACACAAAATACCCATGTGCTCAGTAGAACACACATAATAGTTCACACATACTCATATACAGTAATAATTCATTGTATTAACAATATACATACCGTTAAGTTACCTAACCTTTCAATACAGGATTTACAGTAAAGGGCCAAGGATGCCACAGGACTGCGTAGTAAATTTTGCATGAAAAATATATATTTGTAATGGTCTACTGACCACTTTCTGCAATAAAAATTTAATAATATACAATTTCATTCTCTTTACAATTTATGATTAATCATTTTTTGGTCTATTTATTTAGATAATTAATTTAGCAGAAGGCACCATCAGGAATGGAGTTACAACACAAATTACTTTAAATCAAATAACCATTTGATCTTTAAAGAAAGATATATATATATATATTATTTTAATAATTGTCAAACAAAATACAATTTAATTTGAAAATGTAAGAAAAAATGATTTACATTTGATCTGTCAAAAACATCTACTATTCCTCTATTTAAAACAATATAATTATACTTACAGTACACATATGATCTTTAAAACAGTTATTTAACTTATTGCATTAATCTCAACAATTTGTTATTAACATTAAATTCTTTATATATTTCCCCTAACTATAGCTAAATTCTATCATATACATGAAAAAAAAAAAAAAAACATATAAAAATATGTCACAAAAAGTTCATTTCTTCTAAATCTTGTCTGTTCTTCTCTTTGATGATCTTCTTAACAAATGATTCCATAAATAAAGATCACAAACTGAACTTAGAGTATAAATTGATCAACTTTCTGGTACTCTCTTGTACCGAAATTGAAAATATTTAGCCTTGTACACCTGTTGTACATAATAGGAATCTTGGATCTATAGATTTACATCGTATTTCGTGCTATAAAGGTTGTGATTCTGTGGTTGATATGGTCATGCAGTCCCTGCAACTGGAAATGGTCAGTCTCTGCCCGCAGGTCATATAAGTACCTGACCACACGGGGCAAAGACTGCGATGACCATTGGTTTCCCAATCTCAAATAATTCAAGATATGGCGGAAATGTGCCGGGTCCCGGTCCAGGAAGTATATCGGACTCCCGTACTCGTCCTTTCTAAAGGGCCTCATACCGGAGCCCTCTCTAACCATCTCTGCCAGCAGAGAGCTTGGTTCCATCCCTAGTGTTGCCTTACAAGGCCACCTATGTCTAACACAACTCTACAAGCTTGTACATCACTCCAAGCTGCCAACTTCATATCAGTCACTATTTGGCTAGCCAGTTGATCCCAGACCACACGGCGGGCACGCTCAGTAGCTGAAGTAGCATCTGTCCTGTCCTGTGTTGTCCCGTGGGTAGCAGCTACTGGCTGTGGTGCTGCTTCCTCAACCCTTATGGGAGGCAGAGGAATATTGGGGATGTCCAGTGTCTCTTTAGGGGCCAACTCCTATGCTTAGTTGGTCTTAAACCTCTCCATCCTCAGCATCAGATGCCAAGGATGGATTTATTGCTGTCTCCCCAGAGACTGTTTACTGGATCCTCTGCCTCTACTGGTGTAGGTGAGGGCTCCCTCACCACAATGGCTGTTACCCTACAGGGACTAGGGTATGGTCTAGTGCTGGCTTGGGTGACTGATGCCACTTTCCCACCCAGGGTGCTTACCTAGCTAATGATGAAGTGGTGGTGTTTGGTTGTTCCTGCCACTTTTTGGCCCTGTTTAAACTTGGCTCAACACTGCTTGGCCTCTTTTTTGCCTTTTGCCCTGGCACTACCGTCTCCCGTGGCAGAAGTCTGGCCACAATCTTTCCTTTGCACTGTTTGTCTAAACTCATTTAGAACCTTTTCAGCTTCCAACCCTGTGACACCAGTCTGCCTAACCACTAATGTGGTTGGGGTCCTGGCATCACAAGTGCCATGCTTCTGGTCAGCTCTCCCCCAGAAACTTAAAACAGGAGTCACACCGGTGACTCACATCAGAGTGTTGCTCAATCAGGTGTCTCCTAACAACTGTTTTTCTTGCGGACACAAATAGATCTTTCTCGCCCTGACGACACAGGGAGCATGCCCATTGGGTTACCTGTGAAAAGAATTGAAATATTGAATATTATGAATTTAATAACCGAGAGTATGGTGTTTGGATAACATAATTTAATTGCATATTCTTAGACTAATTGTTAGTCTTTAAGTTAATGCATTCCACGAGCAGGTTCTCTACAGTTGATGCTTCTACAAACTTAAATTGTTGTCAGCAATAACAAGCAATAACAAGCAATAACTAATTATTGATTATTTTTTTTAGCTATCATATGTTGGCTGGTCTACTTCCAAACTTATGTTAAAACCAAAGTATTACAAAGTTTATTTCTTTTTCAGAGACTACCAGAACCAAATCTACAGGCAGAGTAATTGCCCGCCCAAGCATCATATTACAAGGACTGACACCAGTGGATTTGTGGACTGATGAACGGTACGTCATCATTGATACTGATAAATATTGATCCCAATTCTTTTGTCTCTTATCAACATAACTTGATGGCACTTCTTTAATTGTATTTATTGATTTTTCAACCATCCCATCAGATTGGGGTCGTCTGGTGGTAGTTTCCCTAAAAATAGTAGATTCAAAATTTGAACCTTTATCACTATGTAAGGTGCGGGGAACACCAAAGAGGGCTACCACACCTTCAACTAGCGCTTGGGCTACAGTGGGAGCCTCTTGGTCTTTAATGGCGAAAGCCTTGGCCCATTTAGTCCGCGATTACGACTATAAATCTATTTTCCTGATTTTACCGAGAGAAGGGACATGTGATGTCTATTGCTAGACGTTCCATTGGGACCCCAACAGAATACAATTTAAGAGGGGCTTAAGGTTTCTTTATGGGTCTTTTACGGGAGGCACATGCATCACAGTTTATGATCCAATATTCCACATCTCTACAAAGGCCATACCAAAAATATCTATCTCTTATTTTTGCCAAGGTCTTTTTGATACCAAGATGGCCACTTAAAGGGGCATCATTTAAATATTTGAAGGCTGTTTTTCTTAGAATAGTAGGAAATAAAACTTGCCACACTATTTTACTTCCAGTATCATTTTCCCATTTAAGGTATGAAATATTGGTTTTTATAACTATAGAGTCCCATTTGGACCAATCGTGTTTTAGCTCAATGGTGCCGGCAGAAACGTCATGCCATTCAGGTCTATGACCATCAAGTTTCCATTTGAACAAGTGACCAATAATAGGGTCCTATCTTTGTTCATCTGACAAAGATATGTCCTTGCCAAAGTGTATTTCTCCCTCCAACTTGTTCTTAATTTTGGGTTCATCCACAACCGGGACTACAGACAACTTCTCAGGGGAATCTTCCTGTTTGCCTATTTCATATTTTTCCAGTGAAATTCATATGTAATATCATATTTACTTTCAGCACGCAGTAGTTACAGCCAGTTTCACAGCATGGGCGACGAGACAATGCATTAGCATTTGAACGGATTCGACCGGCTCTATGCTCTATTTTGAAGTAAGTAGCTAGGGTCTCTAACCATCGTTGACCTTCAGGGTTTTGAATGTAAATAACCAGCGTAGGAAGCCATGATCACTTCTGACTAAAACATATCTACCATATAGGTAGTGATGGAAATCTTTTATCGAAGCTACGACAGCCAGTAATTACCTACGGGTAACACAATACCTGCGTTCTTGCTTAGAAAGGGCTTTGCTATAGTAGCAAATAACTCTGTCAATTCCTCTTTGGATAAAACTGAACCCATTCCATCGTTACTAGCATCTGTATCTAGTATGAACAGGTCATCTGACGTGGGATAACCCAAAATCGGGGTGCTTGTAAGGGCATGTTTCAAGGTATCCAAGGATGCTTGGCATGGATCAGTCCACTCGAACTTTCTGCCTGCCTCTATTAACCTATGCAAAGGTCTTGCAATGTAAGAACAATTTTGAACAAATCTCCTGTAATAGGAACACAAGCCGAGATAACTTCTCACTTGTTTTACATTTTTGGGTATTGGATAATTAGTAACAGACTCTAATTTTGCTGAATCAGTGGCTACCCCATTGGAACTAACCACATGTCAAAGGAACTTCACTTGGTCTTTGAATAAGTTACATTTTTGATGGTTGATTTTCAAATCTGCTTTTTTAAGGCAATTGATAACCTTGCTTAAATTTGTTAGGTGTTCATCGAAGGACTTTGAAAATACTATGATATCATCCAATACACGAGACATATTTTCCAGGACAATTCCCGGAGAACTCTCTCTATTAAGCGCACAAAAGTGGATGGGGCATTACATAGCCCAAAACTCATGTTCTTAAATTACCATAACCCACTGCCTGGTATAGAAAAACCTGTCTTAGGTCTATTCTTTTCTGCTGTATTTACGTTCCAATAACCACTCCTTAAATCTAGTACTGAAAACAAACTCGCCCCGGACAAGGCGTCCAAGGTATCCTCTACACGGGATAGCGGTTACAAATCTTTGTACGTTAGCTAATTTAGGCTTATGTAATCTATCGTGAACCGAAACTTTGGCTGGGTAATTAACACCACAGGAAAACTCCAAGGCCCATAACCAGGTTCTATGATATCTCTTTTTGACATTTCTAACATTTCCTCCACTAACATTTTACGTTTGGAGAATGGGAGGTGGCGATGGGGAATACGTATAGGTCTTGCATGGCCTATATAAATGGTATGCTCAACCATATCTTTAGGATCTTTTGAAAAAGCATGCTGATATTTGATGAGGAGTAACCTTAATTGATTTTTTTTCTACCTCATTTAAGTTCTTAGAGCTATTTTTATTTCTGAAGTATAAATATTGTTTATAAAAACATGATCTAAATCTTGTTCAGGAACCTGTGTTTCTTTATTTTCAACGTTCTCCATTTTAACAGTTATGGTATCGTATCTTTCTTGACTTTACAACTTTTATTTGTTAAATTCATTAGTCTAAGGGGAATAACTCCTGTCTGGTTAACAAATTTTGACACAGCACTAACCATGCCAGTTTTAATATTCACAAGAGAATCAACAATTTTTCCAGGGACAATAAGTTCAGCTTCAAGATGAACAACAACATCCTGAGCTACAGCAATCTTTCATATGGTAGGTTCCATATCTTTATTAAAATGGTAAAATGGGATCTTGTCACCATTTATGGATAAACAACTTTTACTTAACAAAACATCACAGTTATTTGGGGTAAGAAAATCTACCCCTAAAATTCCATCATTTTGTATATCTGCAATCAAAATTTCATTATTTATGATATTTTTACCAATTTTACTTTCCACATTCAATTTTCCAATAAATGCAGAAGTTTCTCTAGTAGCAGTCACTAAATTTAAATTGACTGGGTTTACTAAATTCTGAGATGAGAGGGGAGCTTATTAAACATATCTCTATTAAGTACAGTAACACTTGCACCGGTGTCAACTAACATATTTACAGGGAAGTCCTGTATTCTAGTGGAAACAAATACGCCCTCATCTCTAAACTTAGACACATTAAGTGCAACTATCCTGGGCCCTGACTCATTTGTCTCACACCGGCCCCCGTGTTCGACAAGTTCCAGTTTGCCGACGATCCCTGGACATAGTTCGGAGCTGTAGTTACCCTTGTTTTGGTAATTATTTGACCATTGTTTATTATTACTAACATTGTCATTTGCTTTTCCAGGTTGAGTATTCTGGACTGATTTGACAACCTCTTTAATATCATTGGTCAAAGACTTCATTTCCTGGCGGAAACCATCAATTAAAGATTTTGTAAACGACTCAGAATCATCTAGACGATCTGAATCATTTGAAGCAACTACGTTAATAGGATGACCACGATATCGATTGGTCTTCTGTTTGTCAGCTACTCTATAGGCTTCCAGCTGTAGTGCCAACATTTCAGCTTCAGCAATATCTTTGACCTGAGCTTCTCGTATTCTGAGCCTCAAATCTGAATCTGGCAAAGCATCTATAAAATGATCCCTTGCCAAAGTAAAAATTAAAGTTGGAGGTGCATTGGGATAAGCTTGTCGTGTGAGCATTTTTATTGATTGGGCCAGTTCAGATATAGATTCTTCTCTACGCTTGATACGTGTCTGCAGATTTGCTTGAAAAATCTCTGCTCGGTTCATTGAACCAAACCTTAAATTAAGTATCCTGACCAAGCTTTGATAATCTTTTCTTTCTATTGGGGAAAGTTAGTAAGGTTCTGGCATCACCTTTAAGGCTACCAGCTAAGTACAAGGATTTAGTTTAGGACAGATAATCATCTAGATCTAATGTACCATCTTAATATTGTGATTTTGGTTCCGATGTGGAGGAAGCACCACTGAATCTGACCTACAAGCTACCAAACTAGATAAACTGGGAGCCAGGGTTGATGGACAAGACCATATGTTAGCAGTCGCTAAATTGCCATTGTTATTATTACCTCTAAATAAAAATTTGTGGGTGGAATAATATTTTTAGAGACATTTGCCTTCTCTGAATAATGAGACGTACGTTCACCTTTCATGTGTGGGTGAAATGTACTGCCATTGCAATCATTTATTGGTTGGTCAAAATCATACAACAGATTTCTGGTAACATGAGTTTGATGATCACCTGACCCCAAACTTTGAACATTAGGCATGGTGACATGAGCCCGTAAAGCTGCAATGTCTTGGTCAACTTTATCCATGGTCTTTTTTGTCATATACTGCATTTCTTCTTTTGTATTTTTAAACATTTGGTCAATTTGATGAAGATGCACTTGCAGAAGGGGATGGAGTATTACAAGTTACTTCATCGACTACATGCATGTCCATTAAAATAAATGGACCGCTAATATCTTGGTCAATTAAAGAATCTGAGATTCTCTTATAAAAATATTATTTCTGAATCATCCATTGTAAATTTGTTCACAAAATCTATCGATTTCAATAGTAACAAGTTAACAAAAATGAAATCACCACAGTCAAAACAGTGGTTTAAAATTAAATATACTAAATGGGAGATAAATTAGTTATAAATCCCGCCGAGGATGCCAAATATGTTGCGTCGACACCACCCGTCAGCGCAATGACCACATATTGGACAATGACATATAAACGTGTACATATATTAAATATATACTTCAAAAAGGGTTCTACCTGTTTCTATTGTTGTTTTTTTTGTTTTTTGTTTTTGCTCTACAGAGACATAAAACGGATAAAAGTTCACACCCTGTTTATTACTGTATTAAGGCACAACATGAAAATATGCAGTTTTGACAGTAGTATTAATATTATAAACTAATGATATTATATAATACACAAAAGGAGCCCCAAGAGGATACATAGAAGTTAAAAAGGTATAAGATTTATCGATCTCATTGTTTACTTGATATATTTCTGGTGAGGTGCAGTTGCACCTAAGGTTCAGGTGACGTTACGATAAGAATAAGGTGCTGTTGCACCAAGGTTCAGTTGCACCTAAGGTTCAGGTGACGTTACGGTAAACTATCAAAGTCTATAATTTAGCAATAAATGGTCAATTCCAATCAAGGTGCATTGCATCGGCAATGTATATAAATGTTGCCTTAATTAAATGTGGTGCCCGAAATCCAAACTTGGATGCACTGCTAAATTTGAGTAGCGCTATACACGGATTAAATATATATAACGACTCAGTTGATTGGTAATATCATCTAAATATAAAACGTAATTTATAATCACAACTTTTCTATAAAAGATCAATGATTCACGGAAGCTAGTAACTGAATAATGTTGCACCAGGTGCAATTTGACTTGACTCTCGGTGCAAATAAAGTTAAAGAATGGTTTCTCTAGTAGAAACACTCATTAATTTACCTAAAAAGGCATTTTTAAATATTATAAGCAATTAAACTATCACGATAACGTACCATGGCTACATCCGAGCGAATATGTTGCTGCGACATTATAAAAGAAACAAGCTAAAATCTATGCGACTGTTAAATAAACGTGTATCAAGTGGAAATTGAACAGAGAAGAATGACGTCACAAGTACGCTGACGTCGTTTTATATATAGAATAATATCAACCAATCAAATAATTCTATGCGATCTCCGGGCAAACGCGCAGATTTGCGCAAAGATGGTGGTTCTACGTAACCTCCGGGGACTTAAGCACAATATACCAAATAAATTCATACATCGGAAGGGATCCACACCTATCTAGTTGGATAAATAAATATATTATTAAGCTAGAAATGCCTGATATAACTAGTGACAGAATGTAATGTAAGTAAATTTCCCAATTGAAGTGGGTTCGTGACCTGACAAAATGAACATTCTGAACTACAAGTGAAAAGTGAAAGTAGACTGAAACTGCAATATGAGAGCTAATATATATATAAATAAGTTTGTAAACAACATAGAAGAGCACAATTATATGAGTTCTACAGCATCGAGTCATATTTGTTACACAACAAGCGTAAACTATTAATTTCGGGGTCACCGTCAACATGTAAACAAATCTGCATAAATCTATTTTCTGTGACATTCCAGAAATGTACTTTAACATCAGATGTAAACAAACGGATATTACAATGGAACCAGATAGGATTTAATAGGGGTGTGAATAACTAAATATCTTTACAACAATAAATATTAACAATATAACACTTGAGACCATTTTAACATATTCATGGAGCATAAAAGGACATAGTAAGGAACCAATTTTTGGCCGGCACAACACTATGATGAGTTTATTTAGAATCACTGAATGCCTCTGCTGGTGGAGGTTTCTTCCTCGAGAGAATCACCAGCTCAGAAGTCAGCATTTCTGTGATGACATGGAAAAAAAATAACAAAAATACCTAACTTCAAGAAAATTTCAAAACGGAAAGTCCTTTATCAAATGGCAAAATCAAAAGCTCAAACACATCAATCATCATTGATATGGTCATAATTATAAATCAACTTTCATTTTTCGCCATACTGAGGATTTTCTTCCCCAGGAAATGATTACCTTATCTGTATTTTGCTCTTTTTAATCTTTCATTTCATATGCATATTGATCATTGTGGTTGTAAAGTATATTGAGACTTATCAAAGGATTTTTAATTACTTTGGTCGAAAACGACGAGTTCCACTAGTAAAACAGGACCTGTCTATTCTCTGGGGGCACACTCATCCACAAATAGTTTTGTTATTCAGTCTTCTATTTGCTTTAGATTTCAGTGATTTATTACGTTTTTTTAATTTTATCAAACTGTGTTTAATACCGTTAATTTTGTTATCCATAATTTGTCTTAAAAACCGCTATCATATTACAAAATTTCAAATTCGATGTGTTTTATGGGATTTACATGAACATATGATTCATTTATTAGAGTCAGACCAAATACATTCATCAATTCGCTTTTGTATAATGCGTAATCTTCTGATGTGACTCTTCAAAAAGAAGTTAAAAAAACAAAACAAAAAAACTCCAAGAAAATTCAAAACGTTTTCCCTTTAAAGTATAACGACTGGTGTCACTATCTGGTCAGGAAAAGCTGACCCTTCTGACGGACATGAGATCCAACTTTTGCTAAATAATAAGTTTCCTATTTAATGAACTGTTGTTGCATTTTCGTCGTTTTTTTTTAAATTTACATGAACAGATGATTCATTTATTAGAGTCAGACAAAATACATTCATCAATTCGCTTTTGTATGATGCGTAATCTTCTGATGTGACTCTTAAAAAAAGTGAAATAAAAAAAAAACCGAACTCCAAGAAAATTCAAAACGTTTTCCATAAGAAGTATAATGACTGGTGTCACTATTTGGTCAGGAAAAGCTGATCCTTCTGACGGACATCAGATCAAACTTTTGCTCAATAATAAGGTTACTCTTCAATGAACTGTTATTGCATTTTCGTCGTTTTCTTTAAATTTCACCCCCATATTATGTCCTGTTTTTCTTCGTCTATGAATTTTGAATAAAACATCACTGTATTTAATAGGAAATTATTAACACTCGCGAAAATTTAAGGAAGTAACAATATATATTTTTGAATCATTATTATTTTTAAAGTACCATTATTTTTTTATATTCTTTATACAAATACGTACAGTAAATTTGGTTTTATATGCAAATAAATTGTATTATTTGTTTTGTTTCTGCTCGTAAGATAATATCGACTTCTAACTCTCCAACGCAGTATCTACATTGTGATATTCGATTTTATGTTTTAATTTTTGTGGGATTGTATAATAAATGTATAATTTATGTCTATGTCCTATATATGAATAGTTTTAATTAGAAATAACAAATATCCCTGAAACTAGTTTATATTGTAATGAATTTTTAGAAACACCAAAACTTTTATTTAGTTTTTTCATATCCCCAGACATATATGACCTTAGCCGTATTTGGACATTTTTTTCTCGAAATATTCGGCTTGCAACGCCCTTCCGCTTCTTGTTTGATTTGGTGATTTGGTCATCTAATTGTTTTATTCGAAAAGCACTGACGAGTCCTATGTAAACGAATGCGTCTGGCGTTAGAAATTGTGAGCCTGGTACATTTGATGATGTAAACTTATCTTCTTTTTATGGTTTGATGTTCAATCTATTTTATTTTCTTTGAAGATGATTTTAAGTTGTCGTCTTCTCATTGTTCGATGTTAAATCTTTTATTCTGTAGTTAGTCACCACTTCGGCGTTATCATGTATATCTATTATATAGTCATTTTTTATAGATTTACTGTTTGCAAAAGTATGAATTATTCTAAATACTAATGATTTTCGTATCCCAGACATATAACCTTAGCCGTATTTGGCACAACTTTTTGGAACTTTTGGTCTTCAATGCTCTTCAACTTTGTACTTGTTTTGGCTTTCGTACTTTTTTGATCTGAGCGTCACTGGTTAGTCTTGTGTTTACGAAACGCGCGTCTTGGTGTATTAAATTTTAAACCTGGTACCTTTTGTTAGCTATTATTCGTATGTTTCTCTGTCCTATATGTTTTCCCATTTATTTGTATTGTAGTCCTGTCATGTAATGTTGTCATTTTAATGTTATATTTAACATTGCCATAAAAGCGGGAGGTTGGGCTAGCCACAAAACCAGGTTCAACCCACCATTTTTTTCTTAAAATGTCCTGTACCAAGTCAGGAAAATGGCCATTGTTATATTATAGTTCGTTTCTGTGTGTGTTACATTTTAATGTTGTGTTTCTGTTGTGTCGTAGTTCTCCTCTTATATTTGATGTGTTTCCCTCAGTTTTAGTTTGTAACCCGGATTTGTTTTTTTCTCAATCGATGTACGAATTTCGAACAACGGTATACTACTGTTTCATTTATTTGTCTTTTTTTTTTAGGATGATTTCTATTTGTCGTTTTCATATGGTTCGATGTTAAATCTTTGTCGTTTTATTTTCGTTTCTTTGGGGATGATTTTTAGTTGTAGTCTTCTCATGGTAAGATGTCCAATATTTGTCGTTTTTTCATTTTCTTTGAAGAGGATGTTTTGCTATCATCTTCTCATGGTTTGATGTTTAATCTTTGTCGTTTATTTTATTTTCTTTGTTGATGATGTTTAGTTATCGTCTTCTTATGGTTGGATGTTCAATCTTTGTCGTGTTATTGAATTTCTTTGAAGATGTTGTTTGGTTATCTTCATCTCTTGGTTATATTTTTAATCTTTGTAGTTGATTTCTTATTATGATGATGTTGAGTAATTGTTTTCTCATGGTTGGATGTTCAATTTTTGTCGTTTTAGTTTATTTTATTTGATGATGATGTTTAGTTGTCAGCTTCTAATGAATCGTTGTTAAATCTCTTTGTCTTACTTAATTTTCTTTGATGAATATGATGTTTGGTTATCTTCCTCTCATGGTTAGATTTTCAATTGTTGTATGATTTTACAATTTTTAGTATAAACGATGTTTAGTTATCTTAAGCTTCTTCCCGACCAATGATTAATAGCCGAATCCATCTTAGGACAAATTTGACTGCGGGAGTTGAAATCTGAATTTAAGAAAGGTTTGTTATAAATCATGTCAGTACCGAAGTATTGTCTTTGCATTGAGCTCAGTTCATTGTTATGAATATGCATCCTGTATGCAATTAAGATTTATAAAGAGGCAACTCATGTGTATATACCGGTAGTCAATGACATTTTTTTGCATATATTGAAGCATAACATAAGCTGTTAAAGGAAAATTAGAGCATTGTATCTCAATTTGAACCAAACCTATTTAATCTGTCAGGTATTATATGAAAGAAAGCATACTCGAACACAATAAAAAAGCTGCTAACTGTTACAATTGAAAGACATTTTTAACCATTTGAACTACCTACTGAAGAGTCCTAAGTACAAATGGTAAATAATTTATATATGTGTAATTATATCAACTTTTATTGTTCAACTTTTATCATTATTCATTATTATTTTTGGTAACTTTTAATTATGTTAATGATAATTACAGCATTGCTCTCGAGGTCCTTTCGATGGTTATTTGATGGCGTCTAGTCTCGAATTCATGCATTGTTATTTGTTTCTTTTTGGGACTTTTTGTTATCTGGATATGCGTTTTTAGTATATTTCAAATCATATATGAGAATTTTAGTTAAATCGGTCATCATGATTTATACAGCTAATGCCCCTGTAAGGAAACGTAATGTTTCTTCAGCCTTGTTAATTTCTATCTATAGATTAATCAAAAGGGTACAAACGTACTTAAATCATACAGTTTCTATAAATAATTTTCAAAGTCTAACTTTGCGTGCATAACAATAAAAACATTATATCAATGGTTTATATTTTATTTTTCCCGTATTTAAAATGCCTTCATTGTTTAACTGCATTCCTTAGCAAATATCATATACAGGATATATAATGAACTGTTCTTAAATCTCATATAGTTTTTCCATTAAACCTTTGTGTATCAACAACCAAACCAACATATCTGTACTCTCGACGCTTTAAAGGCTGGATACTCAGAACTACACAGAAATATGTTCCACGTTCAGTTTGAGCTCACTACCGGAGAAACCAAACACTATTATATATAACACATGCTGCCAAGGTCCAAAAATTGTATTTGCATTATAAGAAAATTTTATGTGGGACGAGAGCGTAGCTGAAATACCATACTAAAATTTACTGACTGTGTATATACTATATGCGTCAATATCCCTAATGCTCCTTAAACTGAGGAACTAAAAAATAGTGCGCTAACAAAAAATCTCTGTGCAGTGATATTGGACATGTTTCAATTGTTCACAAATGACTGCGCTTTACCATTTGTACTGTTTGAAGATCAGAGGACCATACAATAAAGATGTAAAAACTATAGAGTAATAAACTTTGCAAAGACCTGAATTTCATAAGAACTTATTTTGTGAAGAGGGTTCTTAACCACTAGAAGACGCATGACAAAGGGCTTTTCGGGTTATGCATATTGCGGAAATACAAATTTCACTTACTACCCCAAAAATTAACCACATATGTGAAAATGTCTTAGCTTCAAAACAAGCTATCATATATTACCAAGTTTACGATATTGGCAGAGGAAATAAGGAAAAGGCTACCATAACCGCCTTCCTGAAATGAATTGCGCAACTTGACCAATATAAGTTGTTTATACACAATTGAATAATCTTTAATGGACTATGTGCTGGTTATCGATTTACTTAGCTTACAGCACTGGGTTGATTTATAAATTCATTGTGTAATATATTCATCCTATCGACTATCTGATGCCTGGTAAAAAAAACATTAGTAGCTTTAACTAACTTTTAAAATGAAAACAACACTTTATAACTTCCATGCATTCGAATGTTGTTGAATGAAGATTAATTGTAACACGAAAACCCCAGAACTTACATATATTTAAGACTGTTATCAATTTACCATGTAATTTTTTAAACATTTCATTTGGTTTTCAAATAGGGAAAGAACATACTTATTTTTTCTGTGTGTGGAGCTTAATTTACAACAAAAGAAATAGATTTTTTTCTAAGAATTTGAACCCAAGGTTTTTGGTGAGGTTTGTGCTGATCAGTCTTACGTTTTTTATATAGTGTTTTGTCTACTGTTGCTTGTTTTTTAGTCGATGTTTTACACACCTTTTTTGCAATTACCGCAATGTACATATATATTAAGAAACAATGAAGCAGTATCCAGTACATGTGCTTTGTGCATTGAAAGAGTTCAAAAAGCACCCAACAGGTAAACATTTTGTTATAAATGATACATGAAAGCTGTGACCATTTTTGTGTTTCTAACGATCGATATCGTTTCACAGCTTTCTAATCTTCTTTTATCGTGTCTATATAATGACATAATTACTTGGCTATCTCTATATTGGCCTTGGTGATTATCGAGGCTTCCAGTGTTTACCTGTTTTTAAATAGTTGTGAGGTCGACAAGAAAATAGGCTTGTGATAATCTACAGACTCGGTTCCAAAACATGAAATAGATAGATTTTCTGCTTACAAAAGGCTTTTTTAAATGAATGTGAGCGTCTTCAGTCTGAAGACGGTGTGAGGAATAATACAAATGTTATCAGTATTGGGAAGATTTCATTTTTTTTTGTTATTTATGTTCTACAGTTTTGCTTCTTAATAAGGGATAAAAAATTATATTTACTTTTTTCCAAAGAGTTATATTGACACATGAATAAGAACCATTAACTATTGATCATCATCAAAACCTTAATACTTTTATAACGTACAAAAAAAACGATTTTAGTACTTTGTTATTATAACGTGACAATTTCTGTATTGGCCTTGTTATTGATCCGAAGCTTGCAGTGTTTACCTGTTTTTTTTTTTGTTTTTTTTTTGTTTTTTCTTTACAAAGACGTCAAATTTTCATTGGATGGTTCAGAAATTAGTTGTAGTGTAACCAATCACCGTATTTGAATATACATAATCAGACAACATGTGACCGAACGACGCATAGCTTTAGCGAGTGCACACCACGAATTTAATCCATAGCGGTGGTCGGTTACAAGTGGTATTATTTTTGATATTTAAATACGACGATAAGTTATATGTTTTTACTATATAGAAACAGAATATCAAAATCCTCTTCTGTGTTACTGGCGTAAGCTGGATTCACTTTATGTATTATCGGTTTCATTGTAAGTTTTAAAGTATGAAAATAAGTGTTGTGCACACTGCTGTCAAAATAGTGGCACATTGTTCGTTCGAGAAGATAAATACACTTGTCGAAGCGAGAAGTTTTTTTCAAATTCAACAGGTCAATGATTAATTGTTGATGTGTGACAAAGTTGATCAATTAGTTTATAGTGTTAAAGCGCACATATTAGTCGGAAGTCTCAAGTAAGCGTCTGATAAGAGGCTAGAAAAGCATTGAGAGTGAAAATTAACGAATTATTTCACATGTTAGATTATCGGAATTCATCACAATAGGAAATTCATATAACTCACTTTCATCTATATAATAAAATTATATAATACAATCAATATGGATACTAGTAATTACATGAATGAGGACAGGATAAAAAGCAGATATAATTGAAAATATCTTTAAAATCAGATATATCAGGGAATTCTTTTCTTTAAGGTGAGGAGTATTGTGCATACGATACCATCTATTATTTACACAAATACTGACTGAATTTTTAATACATAAAAACACTTATATAAGTAAATGACTCCATTTGTTAAAACATGAAGTTCTAATCTATGTTATGAAAATGAAGAAAACAATACTTTTGAAAATTTCCTTTGTAATATTTTTATGGATTTTAATTTACAACTATTCAATAAGTCAGCGAAGAAGGCATATCAAGGTTACGTTCTTTTCAAATATTTTACCAAAAATCCAAAACCAATTTGTAAAAATATTAAAAATAGAGTCGAAATTACCAAGCAGAAGCCGGGAGGTTATAAGATACAATGGACGAAATATCGCAACAGAGTTTGAACTCTTTTATCTGAACGTATCAGCTAATAAACTGATGGACCCTCTTATTCAGAAACATGGATACAGTTCGTTACTTCATACCGCTACGAATTGTAAAGAAAATCATGTCTTCTTGCTAGTCCTTGTTTATACAGCTACACACAAATTCGACGAACGTCAGGTTATAAGGAATACATTTGGATCTACTTTAAAATTTGACAATAAACTTATTGAATATGTCTTTGTCCTTGGACAAACCGCGAATGATACTCAACAAAAGGAAATTGATCAGGAAAGTGTCAAATACAGAGACATTATACAAGGAAATTTTGTAGACAGTTACAGCAATCTAACATATAAACGAGTTTTTAGCTTGTTCTGGGTAAATAGATTCTGCAACAATGTGACTTATGTCATAAAGATTGACGATGATATCACTATCAATATTCCGTTTCTTATTCCATATCTTAGCAATAAACAAAACAAAACCAAGGTTTTAGAATGTTTTACTGTTATAGGAGCTAGACCAAAGCGTCGGACTCGCAGTAAATGGTATATGTCTCTGTCTGTATACCCTTTTGCAACGTTTCCTCCTTATTGTGCAGGTCCTTCCTCTATAATGTCCACTGACGTTATAAGAGAGATGTATGAAGCGACAAACAGTGTGCCTTTTTTGTGGCTAGAAGATGTCTATGGTGGTGGATTTTTACCCTGGATTTCACGTATACAAATAGTTCAGCCGAAATGTTATATAAAAGATTTGCGCGGAAGTTTGAATGATAAGCCGTGCCATTTATTTTACATCAATAATATCAAGAATGCAAGTCATCCACATATTATGTGGAAAACTATAGAAAACTATACACAAAACGGTCTGTGTAAATGCAAGTAAGGGAATGACCATTTGATATTATGGGTTTTCGGGTAGAATGATTGTTTGCAGATGGACTATTCATTTTCATCTAGTGACACTCATGCTAATTTTTTTTTTAGCGGCGTCGATTTCACTTTTGTACACCATTGTAACCTGCATTTTGTGTTGCAGAATATTTATTTTTATACTGTCTTGTGTAAAGTTATTTATTTCAATGTCTTACTAGGCCAGGATTTTCATTTTCAAAACATATTAAATTTTTTATCACCGTTTTAATTCATCTAAAAATTCAATATTTATTTTGGGAAATATTAAAAACCACTGTTAACAGATAAAACAATTTAAAAATATTGTATCCGATCATCAATTTCCCAGAATGAATCGGATTATCTCAAACTATCATTTTGCCAGTCTAATTTGAAACCAGGCTTTTTTCAATATGTAACTAAATAAAAAAGGAAAAATATATCGAACCTTCGACAATAGAGAAATATGGACATAAACAAATTTGACTTTGCATGTTGAAATACCACCACTTTTCCTGTCTTTTATGATGTGAACATCAGTTACTGTATCTGTCTAGTGATATGCAAGGTAAAATATAACTTCTGTCACGAAATTACCGCGTGTTTATTTTATGAGATAAGGAATATTTGAAATGTTTTAATCTTAATAGCCAAGAATATCGTTAATTTTGTAATCTATTGTAGGTTGAAATTTGCTATTGTTAAAGTATACTGTTGGTTGTTTAAATATTTTTTAAATCGTGAATAATTGATTTTTGAAATGTTTTTCAACGATTACATTAACGCGCAGTACATTTCATTTCTTCAAAAATTATTAACTATTTTTGAAGGTTTTAATAAATTTGATTATTAAAGGTACAGTAAATATACCAAAGGAATATTATAAAACTATTACGAAAACCTCTAACAGAAAACAGCATGGTTAAAACAAAATCATAATCATAGGTTTAAACTTTTTTTTATTTATATTTATTATTTGTAAATAAATTATTCATATGAAGTACATTGACATTTATCATACGTTTATTAAATAATCCCACTAAAATTGAAATTTTAAATCGAATATTACAACGAGGATACGGGGCTAAAAAATGAGATGTCGATATTCTCTTATAGGTCATTTTACAGACCAAAAAAAATCACACAACAAATGTTCTTTTCATTCTTTTGATGTTGCTGTTCAGCTAGCTGCTTCTAGTGGTTAGGCTTTCCCTCCTTGGTGTTATATTTTACGTTCTTTGATGACGATTAGCTAGCTGCTTCTCATGGTTAGATGTTCCTTCTTGTCTTTATGATTCATTTTCTTTTATAACGATGTTTTGCTAGTCACTTCTTATGATTAGACGTTTCTTTCTTGTCCTCCTATTTTAATTTCTTTGATGATGATGTTTAGCTCGCTACTTTTCGTGTTTAGACTTTCCTTTTTTATCGTTATATTTTACTTTCTTTGGATAACATTGATATGGTATTTTTCTGAAAGTGGGACGAAAGATACCAGAGGGACAATCAAACTCATAGATCGAAAAAAACTGACAACGCCATGACCAAAAATAAAAAGACAAACAGACAAACAACAGTACAGATGATACAACATAGAAAACTAAAGACTAAGGAACACGAACCCCACCAAAACTGGGGGGGATCTCAGGTGCTCCGGAAGGGTAAGCAGATCCTGCTCCACATGTGGCACCCGTCGTGTTGCTTATGTTATTACAAATCCGGCAAATAGTCTAATTCGGTAGGTCACATTCGTGAAAAAGGAAGGGTATTGTAGTTACGACATAAGGAACATATCCGATATCATCTGTGAAACGGTTATTCCATAACGGTCAACCAACTCGTGATGGCGTCCGTAAAGTTTGGACGATTTGGGATGATTTCAACTTCACCATTTGGAACTCTTGGTTTAATAGCTTCCTTGTGAGCAGCAATCCTCTATCCAAGGAAATCATGATAGGAAATACAAGCCCGGGAATATCGTATCAATTGGGAGATATATACTCCGTATGCAGGCGCTGCTGGAATGTTGCTACATAGAAATGGAAAGTTCACAATTAGGAAGCTGAAATCATCTCTTTCGTCGTACAGTTTTGTTTTCAACCGACCCTCATTGTCAATTTCTAGATGTAAGTCAAGATATGAGGCAGACTTAACTGTATCTGTAGTATCCTTTATCTCTAGTTCGATGGGATAGATTCGTTCAACATAGCCACCAAATTTACATTTTGAATTTTTTCATTTTTACATTTTTTTACATTTTGAAAATTTACATTTTGAATTCATTGAAACACTTAGGTTTTTCTTATCCCCAGACAAAGGTGACCTTGTCCGCATTTTTCACAATTTTCGAAAATTTGGTTTGGAATTCCCTTTGAAATTGTGTTTCATTTGGTCTTCTGTTTTTTTGTTTAAGCGCCACTGATGCGTCTTATTTAGATGAAATGTGCGTTTGGCGTAATAAATTATGAGCCCGATATCTTTGATCAGTTTTATATTACGATGTTGTTAAAAACATAAAACAACACTTTATAAATTTCCTGCATCCGAAGCGCTTTTCTTAGTTTACTTTCACGAGGAACGCTCAATGCCGAATATTTCAAAGCCAAGAATGTATAATTCCCGAAACAGTTGAACAGGTATATGAACAAAAAGGACCTACAAATAATAACTTGTATAACATCCCCAGTAAAATTTCTTGTATAATATTTATTAAGGCTGGCTAATCAATTAAAGTTATAGAGAAAATATATGCAATGGAATGTCCACTGCACTGTTTTGAAAAAATTATATTGTATATTATTAGACTCAGTAGACCATATCAAGTTAAAAAAAAATATATATGAGCCAGTCCATGCAAAAAGGTACAAAAATGAAAAACTAACGAAATTATAAAAAGTGTGCATAATTCTTGAAAGCAGACTTGTGATAAAAAAAAACATTTTTATTGTCATAAATCGATTAAGCGAAAACAAATCCGGGTCACAAACCAAATTCGAGGGAAACTGATCAACTATATGACGTTACAACAGAACAACAGAAACACTGAACTGCTTTAAAAACAAACGCCAACATACATAGAAACGGACTATTTGATAACAACTGCCATATGTAAGCTATACACACATTTCAGAGCTTACATCCCTTTTCTTTTTTATGATTTTGCTCAATATTTCAAATTTTAAAATTCATTTGTTTATGTATAGTAAGTTTTAGTGCCTTAACTTGCCTCTTGATTGTGTTCTCTAAGGTAGCAGCGGGGATAAGGCTCTTGCTTACAAAACAGAAATCAAGGCAACTTAATGGGACAACGATTAGAATCCCGTCCAAGGACTGTTAATTTATATAATATTTAATAACTTAAATTCACTTATTTAATAACTTAACTTAACTTAAATTTTAATTTCAAAAACGTTTAACTGTTGTATTTCTCAATGTATGAGAAGGTAAAGATAATGAAATTTGTTAAACTTGTTACGACAAGAAATCACCTTTAAATTGTAGCCAAAAAAAGACACAAATCAATAATAAAATTTTACAAGATTTATTATACAAGTTTACAAGAAATATTATTCAAATTTAAATGTCAACTTAACTGTTAAAATATATGTCCAATCCTTTGTCTTTTCTTCACCCGGAATTTTTCTCTTAACTGTTTTTCTCTTAACTGTCACGGAATATGTCCAATAAGTTCACAATCTAGTATGATAATAATGTCAATCCAACAACTTCAGAGAACTTCTGAGAATCCAAGTATATTAATGTCTGATAAGTCTTATTTCGGTGTCTGTATATATAGTTGTCACAGAAACTCTTAGAACACTGTAGATTGGAAACTGCTAGAAAACTTGAGAAGGGAAACTTCTAGAACAATGTAGAAGTTTAAATTACGCATCGTCGATTATGATCATTCTAGAATCGTTATGTAAGTAAAATAGAAAGTTCTAATCATTCCATCAGTATCTATGAGTGTTCCAGTGATTTCTAAACTGCACAATTATAACATTATTTTGTAAACAACTTATAATAGGTCACACAAAACAAATCAGGCCAAGATAAATAATTATGATAATAACAATCTCATAATACCTCCCCCTTAAAAAGGTTTGAGCTTAACAAGAACTTCTCATGAACAAAATGTACAAAAATATATAGTATGCATACAGTGTTTTAATAAGATCTAGATAAAACATCTGCTGTTACATTATCTTTACCTTTGATATGTTTTACAATAACATCATATTCCTGTAACAATAAACTCCACCTAGTCAACCTCTGGTTCTTGTTTCTCATTTTTTGTATGAAAGTGAGATGATTATGATCAGTATAAACAACGATATGATGCATAGTGGGATTCAAATACACATCAAAATGTTGAAGTGCAGACAATAGTGCAAAACAATCTTTTTCAATATTTGAATAACTTTTCTGATGCTTTTCCAATTTCTTGGGAAAATATGAAATAAGTTTCTCAATATTATCATCTGTTTCTTGAAATAAAACGGCTCCAACTCCTACATCACTTGCGTCAACAGCAAGTTTGAATTGTTTTTCAAAGTCTGGCGTGATCAGAACAGGACTTTTATTTAAAAGTGTTTCGCTAGTTTCAAAAGCGTTTTGACAATTATCACTCAATATAAATTTAGAATCTTTCCGTAAAAGATGACACAATGGTTGAACAACAGTAGCAAAATTTGAACAGAATTTCCTGTAAAATCCGATCATGCCTAAATATCTCACAAGCTGTTGTTTATTTGTAGGAGGAGGAAATTTGGTAATTGCAACAACCTTAGCCATGATAGGTTTCACTTGACCTTGGCCAACTGTATGCCCTAAATAATCAACAGTGGCCTGACAAAATTCACTTTTCCCAAGATTAACAGTCAAATTTGATTGTGACAATCTATCAAAATTATCATATAATTGTTTCAAATGCTCTTCCCAGCTATCACTACAAACAATAAGATCATCAATATAAACATAACAACAGTCTAAATCTTTTATAACATTATTGATCATTCTTTGAAATGTAGCTGGAGCACTTTTCATACCAAACGGCATGACAGTATACTGAAATAAGCCGTCTGGTGTGACAAAAGCTGATATTTCACGAGCTCTCTGTGGCAGTAACCTTTTAAAAAATCAAATTTGCTTACAAATTTTGCTTGCCCAATATTATCAACGCAGTCAATTAGTACTCTGCTGAAAGGTTCTTCAAAGGCTGGAATTGGCAGAAGTGGTGCTGGTGGTATTTTTTGGTTAGGTTTACCAACAACCTGGCATATATGGTATGATCTGCAGTATTCTGTGACATCATTTCTAAGTCTGGGCCAGTAGAAATGTTGCAAATGTTTAAGGCAAGTCTTCCTTATACCTAAATGTCCGACCAAGGGGGTGTCGTGGGTAAGACCAACAATTTCTTACCTATAAACTTTAGGCACAACAGAAATCTCCTCGGAAAAAGGCAACACACCTTATATAAACAAAGTCTGAGAAGCTCCAGTGTCCGGTAAAATCGTAATGGGCTGATAAGTAGTATTATCAACAATAGAAACAAACCCATCAGATATAAAGGATTTAGTATCATACCTTCATAAAATATATGAGAAGAACATAACCCGTATTATGCCAAAACTGGTTTTAGAATAAATGTGTTTATTTCCGATGCAAAGACCCTATGAGTGCATCAATGTTAATACCAAAATATGCCATCTTTAATGACCTGACAACAATATCGTAACTATATCCCTTCTGAATAAGTCTGTTTAAAGGTTTGTTAGCTTTTGAGGTGAAGCCGACATTTTTGTGCTGTGTAAAGAATATTACCATAAAAGATTGGATGTGAAATACCTGAACGTATTAGATGTCTGCATGTTGATTTATATCTACGAATGATGCCTTGTACCGATGATAAAATTTACTAAATGTTTTGACAAGTTTGTGATATCGAAAACCTTGGTGTAATAATTTTTCAGTAATACAGAGGTTTTTTTCGTTGAAATCAAATACGTTGTTACATACACGAGCGAATAACAAAAAAGGTTCACAATGACGCAAAAAGTAGAAGTAAGCATATATAATATGTAAATTAACCGAGATTTTTTCAAAAGAGATTTTTTTTCGTTGAAATCAAATACGTTGTTACATAAACGAGCGAATAACAAAAAAGTTCACAATCACGCAAAAAGTAGAAGTAAGCATACATAATATGTAAATTAACCGACTGTGTCTCATTTCCAATCGTGACATCAGGGCTGAGCCTTGATTCAAATTGCAGGTAACGTATTCATATATGAACCCGGACTTGATCCGTTTAGAATTCATGTGATATTGCATATTTCAAACAAATCCATTTGATTTTAACATCAATAGACAACTAATGCATTGTATTTGAAATAATATTTTATGATTCATTATAAATCGGATGAAGAGAATATCAGGCCCTGTGTTTTCTTTCAGTGAACTTGAAATTCAAAATTGATTAAACTTTAGATTTTCTATATCAAGTGGTATCAAGCAGTTACGCCATCAGTCTTCTATTATAGTTACAAGCACCAATAAACTCCCTATTTCTGAGTTTTGTTTTTTTCATTTTGCCAAGCATTTTTCATATTTAAACATTTACTGTATCAATTCCTTTGGTCCATGTTAGTCGTAATCAAATTTAGCGTTTCAAATGCGTCCTATTTTGTTTTATGCATTTCATTAGAGCTTTCCATGTTTTTATATTTCCAGCAAACCAGGTCAAGAAATTGTCCAGGTTCGATTGTACCTAAATCGGTGGCCTATGTTTACGCTTTACGCTTTTATGAACCATGAGGGTTTTCTCCGATGTATAATATCCCGAGAAAATTCATTTAACTGAGTGTTTATCCTAAATAAACCCAGCGTGGAAAGCAATCGTTGGTTACAAGACCTTTGTTACATTTTTCGTAACGCGTCTATTTGCCTAATCAGTCTAAGGCATCTCTTACTTTACTGAGGTTTTTTTCTACCCCTAGATATAAAATGCTTTAGCCGAATTTGGCATAACTGTTTGGAATTTTGTTTTTTAAAATCGTAATTTTTGTTATTTACTTTTTTTTGTAATTGATTTGGTCTTCCGGCTGTTTAATTCGAGCGCCACTGATGATCTAATGAAGACGAACCGCACGTCTGGTGAACAAAAATATAGGCCTGGTATGTTTTTTCAACCACTGGGTCGATGTCACTGGTGGTTGAAGTTTCATCCCCAAGGGTATTACAAGCCCAGTAGTCAACACTTTTATATTGACATGAATTATCATTGATGTTTTCAATTTTTATAAACTTACTGCATATTAAGTGTTGATTTATTCGTAACACTAAGGTTTTTCTACTTCAAGGTATAGATTGCATTAACTGTATTGTGAATAATTATGTATTGTAAATCTCGCTGGAGCAAATGTTGAAGAGATTGTAATGTTAGGTTTCCTATAGTAATATCAAAATCTATGTTTTTGATATTTATTTTGTTGGATTTTTTTTTTCTGAAACAGACTCATAGTTTACTGTCTTCAGTAAAAAAAAGAGGCAGAAATGAAAATCAAAATTCATAAGTCGAAGGAAGACCGGTAAACAAGTCATTTCGTACCTTGACCATTTCGTACCTCTGTCATTTGGTACCAAAAATTAACATTTCGTTCCCAACATTTACCATTTGGTACCCTATTGGACAAATGCATTTACCATTTCGTACCTCATGGACTAAAAACATGTTTACTATTTCGTATCACATATTTGTAAAAGTTATTTTTTTAAGATATAAAACATATTGAGATGATTTTATTTTTTTGTCTGGAGATGGTTTTCCATAAAAAGTGCAAGCCAAAATGGCAACTATGTACAAACAAACATGACAGGAGACATGGCGTGTCTAAGTTGTAATATTACAGTTCGTCCAAGACAAGAAGCACTGCAATGTGCTATATACATTTAAATTCAACTACACCTTACGCTAATCAATTAAATATATATCAATATTTAGGCACACGTTGCAATTTTAAATGGCACGTGTTTTCAATCAACATTTTAATCCAATTAAATAGAATGATACTTTTTTTTAAAACAATACGCCAGGCGGCGCGTGTCTTTATTTACAAGTTTATACCAAAATAACAAAATCAATGTTATTTGAAGAAATGTGAACTGCTACTAAAGCGCTAGCTAATATTTGAAATAAATATCTTAAATACAAAGTTTAACAGATTTCAAAACAATCGTTTATTGACTTTATTCCTATATAATATCTCGCTTTCTGTTTATATTGTTATGTATATGCATCCAACAGTAAAATAAATTAAATTTTAAATCTGTTTGCTTTTTACATATACATAATTTAGTTATTGTATAATAAGGAAATGTGGAGTATACATCAATGAAACAGTTTTAACCTGGGACATAATATATTGTAAGTATAATAGTCCCAGTTTTAACCAAGAAATGAAAACATATAAATCTCAAACGAGGTACGAAATGGCATCCATATAAACCTTCCATGAGGTACGAAATGGTATACATACAAATCTTCAATGAGGTACGAAATGGTATACATATAAATCTTCCATGAGGTACGAAATGGTATACATGTAAATCTTCCATGAGGTACGAAATGGTTTTTGCCAGGGTACGAAATGGGGGGTACGAAATGGTTAGGGTACGAAATGACTATAATTCGGAAGACCAATAAAACAAAAACAAAAAAGAAAAAAATCAATGAAAAGACAAACACCAGTCTGCAAAACACTGCATAGAAATCTAAAAACTGAGCAACATGAACTCACAAAAAATCAGGGTGACTTCGTGTGCTTAGGAATGGGTAACTAGATTTTGTTACACATAATCATCTTTCTACTGATGAAATTTTTAATTGAGAAAGCTTTGATACATATAAAAAAAAACAAGTTTAACCCCGTCACATGTTCAGGTTCCTGTCACAAGTAAGCCGTTATCTTTAAAATTTATATTATGATGTTTCTGTTATTTAAGGTATTGTATTAATGAAGTTCAATGATAATTTTTGATATGCTCTGGTAACTCTAATCCTTACTTCGGGAAGATATAGAACTTGAAATATTGTATTCTATTAACATTGTATAGAGCTTTTGTTAGCTCCTGTTGAATTCACTCTGGAAATGAAGTAATTTAGAGTTTTTAACAGGTTAAGTAGACACATACATGTAATTTTAATCTCTTAATGTGAAAATCTAGGTGTCTTTTTTACTTTTTTCCTGTGTCAGTAACATATATCGAACGATTACGTAAACTGTTTATTCTTCAGTTAAATGATGTCATCTTGCAGTGAACTTGTAGTGAGGAAAAGCATTTGGATTTTTTCATACGTTTGACGGATTTCGTGTATTTTGTCTGAAT